CAGCATTTAATAACAGTGATGAGATTCGAATTGCAGTTCAACATCAAGACTTGTACATTCTTCCCTCTAAAAGTACTTTACACGTCACTGGTAGAATTGTTAAGCCAAACAATACGCTTGTAACTAATACAAAGTTAATTAGCAATGGTATTTCCTACCTGTTTAATGAGATTCGTTATGAATTAAATGGTGTTGAAATTGATCGCTCTAAAAATGTTGGTATTACAACCACAATGAAAAATATAATTTCTCAAACACCTAATCAAATGATTTACTCTGAAAATGCTGGTTATCTACCTTATGATGATGATGATAGCAGAGTAACAAATGATGCTGGATATTTTGATGTAAATATTCCACTAAGTATGATTATTGGTTTTGCTGAAGACTATCGAAAGATTGTTGTAAATGCAAAACATGAACTTATTTTAACAAGATCTCGTACTGATCTAAATGCTGTAGTAAACATTGAAGCAGCAGAGCGTGAAGAATTTAAAATTATTATTAATAAAGTTGAATGGTTGATTCCATATTTAATGGTAAATGATCGACAAAAAATTGAATTATTGAAATTCATTGAAAAAGACTCACTTATAACAATGAGTTTTAGATCATGGGATTTGTATGAATATCCTATGATTCCTGCCACTCAAAAGCATGTGTGGACTGTAAAAACTTCAACACAAGTTGAAAAACCTCGATATGTTATTCTTGGTTTTCAAACAAATCGAAAAGAAGATCAAGAAAGGTATGCAAATTTATTTGATACCTGCAATCTTCTCAATGTTAAACTTTTCTTAAACTCACAGTACTATCCTTATGGAAATTTAAATTTAAATTTTACTCAAAACAAATTTTCCATATTATATGAAATGTATTGTAATTTTCAACCGTCCTACTATGGAAAAGAATCTGAACCTTTATTAACTAGAAATAACTTTAAAGATTATGCACCATTGGCTGTTATTGATTGCTCAAAACAAAACGAATTTTTAAAACAAGCATCTGTAGATGTGCGATTGGAATTTGAAGCAAGTGAAAATTTTCCAGCCAATACAGCTGCATATTGCCTTATAATTCACGACCGCATTATACAGTATACACCAATCAGCGGCGTTGTTAAAAAAGTAACGTGATTGGTGGAAATAATGACCAATCATAGATGACATCGGTAGTGGGGGTAATTGGAGTGGTGTGGGAAAGGCTATAAAGAGAGCGTCTCTCTAAGGCTTGAGCCATTATTCTATTTCAGATACCATGGCGTACGTCGTAGATATTCAGTGCTTCAAGAGACCATACAACGAGTTTGTCATCAAAGAGTTGGCGATTCTACCACTTCAACAAGATGCTCATCCATTGGTCTACCTCTTCGAGCCGCCATATGCCTGGAGTCGATTGCCTGCAAGATACAAATGTGAGAATCGATGGCTTACAAATAATTATCATGGTATCGATTGGGCTGCTGGTGACGTATGTTATGAAGAATTACAACCTATAATAAAAGAAGTACTAATAGGTACACCTACCGTTTATGTAAAAGGTTTAGAAAAACAAAAATGGTTCGAAAAATATACATTGAATGTGTTTAATTTAGATGATTTTAAATGTCCGTCGCTAAAAAGTTTAAGTGTAGACAGTTCATCTACATGTACAAATCACACACGTAGCTTTAGCAATTGCGCTGTTAAAAATGTATGTAATCTACGAAATTGGTTGATACAACCATCGAATGTACTACGAAATAATATAGAAAATAATGATGAAGTTGACAATGATTGTACATTTAAAGATTTTTATAATGATTGTGAAAATTTCCTATATAATGAATAAATGTATTAAATGTCTATTAATGTTTACTTTAATTAACCTTTCCCTATCCTATTATCTTTATTACACATGTGTAAAACTATTAAACATGTTAAAACTAGTCTAGACTTGTCTTATGACGTCACAAAGTGGGCGTGGCTCAATAATAAAAAGTGGGGGTATTTTACAAACATAAAACGCTATTGCGCATGCGTAGAATTAGTGGTGTGGGTAATGCGCATGTGCAGAATTAATGGTGGGGGTAATGCGTGATATTTGGGTATAAATAGAGGCACCTTGAGCTGTAAAGCTCATTATGTTTTGTAACTTCACAAAGTATTATCTCTAAGAAAAGATAGATCTAACCAAAATCAACGCCATTGGTCGCATGGATGCTTTCCTACCTACGAAGCCGCTTTCCGAGCTGACTCCTGGACATAAGTATCCTATAACAAAGATCCAGGTTGTCAACACCAGGTATGGAGTCAAGGTCGTCGTTGAGGTGGATAAAAAATTCAATACATTCCTACCTTCAAGATTTGTACCAATGTTCACTGATGACTCGATATGCTTGGATCAGATGCAAGAAGCTATTAATTCTGGACAATTACGACTAAAGTATATTGGTGGTCCATACAACCATATTGAATTTAAAATAAAACAAGTGTAAATATTGTATATTGAATGTAAAACAAGTGTAAATATTGTATATTGAATATAATAAATGTATGAAATGTTATTAATACTGTATTTAATTAAATACCTTCATTAGTATTACGTTAGATAATAAGGTTTACATTTTAAGGTTATGTTTAATAAAATAGATTTTAAGGTTATGTTTAATACAATATATTTTAAGGTTATGTTTAATATAATAGATTTTAAGGTTATGTTTAATATAATAGATTTCAACAACTTTTACAAGCGCCATCTATTAAAATTTTAATAATCTTATTAGTGTAAACAATATGGCGCCATCTTTGCTCGCGAAATACAAACGATTCAGTTGTGGCGCCATCTCTCGGCACCGCACTCTGTCGGTAAAACAAAATGGCGGCTCACTGTTTAAGCAGTTTGAATTTATTAAATAAAATTTTTTAATTTCCCGACAGGCAGGTTTGAATTCGCTAGTGGCGCCATCTGTCGGCGGTAGTCAGAACTAAAAAAATCGGTCGGTAAAACAGAGAACCCTTTGTAAGCCATTTGGAAGTTTGAAAATAAATTTTTAAATATCCCGCCAAGCAGGTTTAAATTCGCTAGTGGCGCCATCTGTCGGCGGTAGCCAGAACTAAAAAAATCGGTCGGTAAAACAGAGAACCCCTTGTAAGCCACTTGGAAGTTTAAAAATAAAATTTTAAATTTCCCGCCAAGCAAGTTTGGAATTCGCAAGTAGCGCCATCCAGCGGTGGCAGCAGGAACTACACTCGGTCGGTAAGGTAGAACACCCCTTTAAACCCACTTGAAAGTTAAAAAATAAAATTTTAAATTTCCCGCCAAGCAGGTTTAAATTCGCTAGTGGCGCCATCTATCGGTGGCAGCCGGAACTAACTCGGTCGGTAAAACAGAGCACCCCTTTTAACCCACTTAAAGCTATGAAAATAAAAATTTAAATTTCCCGCCAAGCACATTTGAATTTGCTAGTGGCGCCATCTAGCGGTTTAAGTTTAAATTAACTCGGTCGGTAAAACAGAGAACCCCTTGTAAGCCACTCGAAAGTTTGAAATTAAATTTTTAAATTTCCCGCCAAGCAAGTTTGAATTCGCTAGTGGCGCCATCTAGCAGTGCCAGCAGGAACTACACTCGGTCGGTAAAACAGATTCCTACCTTATCGGCTGAGTCAAGATTTCTGTCAGGTCCCTACCTTACCGACTGATGATAAAGTAGAAATCTACATTACCGACCGTAGGTACTTAGCCGAGATCAGAACCTGCCCCAGAACCCCCCTAGCTATACTACTGGGGACAAACCTTTAAAAAACAGCATCCCCAAGAGGATGGCATGTCAAACAGTATCCTTACAAGACAACTAGACACAAGTCAGTTAAAATCTCATTCCAAATATTCAGTTCAATCTTAAACATTCATACAGTGTTCAGTCTCAAGTTCTCAATACTAAAATTCAACTTAAGTTCAAGTCTATTTTAAAAGTTATAAAGAGTTTTAATACAAGTGTCAATTCTATTACCAAATTCAAATAATTTCATCACATATCAAAATCATAAATCGATATATCAATATATCGATACAGTAAATCGATTAATCGATTATTAATAATCGATATTACGAGGATTCCAAATTATTTCACGTTTTTGAAGACAACGATTTTATTCATAACTATAAATAAAAAGTGAGTACAAATTCAAAATATTGTTATTAAATTCATCTTTTCTAAACTTCGAAATATTACAATTATACTTTAGAGGAATTGTTATATTTCAAAAAACTATTTCCCAATTCTAAGAATATTATTTCTTTTATTTGAACAAATCCAATTTGTTTATAACCTATGAAGCCAAAGGTAATTAATGTTTCATATTGCTGTTACTAATTAACCTTGTTCCTTTTAAAATCAAAAATCCCTACACGGAAAAAAATACTAGGCTAAAAACACATGAGCGTCTGTTGTGTATATTGCACGCACACTACCATGCGTGATTAGCTTAGAATCCATCCTATTTTCGCATGGTGCTGTGGCAAAAGTCACAAAAGCCATGCATTTTTAGTAAACTCCTGTGTGATATTTGCAAAATGGGCTCATGTAAAAATCGAACCAATAGACTCCATGCATTATTAGGCTGATTTTTTTTTCCGTGTATAAAATAAATTTTTAACATTGTTCAACTCGAAAGTGTCCCGAACTATTAAGCGAGAGCTTAGGTTCTAATCACTAACATAATTCCATTTATTAAATATTCATTTATTTAATAAATTGAATTTAAAATAATTATGTTTAGTCCATAGGACGTAACAAATGAAATAAATTTTTACTTTATTTAAAAAAAATTAATCTAAATATTATATAAAATAAAAATTTATGAATCTAATATTATTTAATAAAAACAATGTTATTAATATAGATAAAATGGATAATTCAAAAAAAAATAATTTAAGAAAATTATTTTGAAAAAAAGTATATTATGTTAATAATTAAAAAATTAATTAATATTAATAATTTTTTCAAAAAATTATACTTACACGTTTAAATCTTTAACTTCAATTGATTAAAATTCTTCGTTGGTTGTGTAGATGTTTTCGTCTTCTTTCTCATTAATTTCCTCTTCTTTCTTATCAATTTCCTCATTGTCGGTCTCAATTTCTACAAGTTCTCGTTGTTCTTGTCTATTTCAATTACAAAATAATTAATTTTTTTATTCAATTATTATATTTATATAGGGGAAGTGCTCCGGTTGTGGGCACCCTCCGGTTGTGGGCACCCCTACGTAAACTTCGACGGCAAGCAGACTTTACTGAACTAAGTATTGCAAGTCGTGTTCGTTGACAATACGGACTTTTCGTATTGATAAAGAAACAAATATATGCATTTGTGTAATAGCTGTGAGCATGATAAAGAAAATTTGCATTAAATAAATAAAAAAGTAATTTTGTATTGTTTTCAAAGAGCAACATATGGGTGTAGATTCGTTCAGAAAAAAGGGTTAAATTTTTTCTTTGCAGTGTTGTCATTATATTTTGTGATTTACCTTCGTGTTTAACCAAAATCCTGCATCACAAAATGTGTTGGTCTTTTTAAAAAATGACTGTCATTCCCGGTTGTGGGCACCTTTATGTTAAGGAAGCTCTACCATCTGAGAATGATGAGGACTACTGTCTCATCTATCTAAACTTTCTGCCAAGGAAAGTGACAGCCGCAAACTCCATTAAATGCAATGAATATAGTCGTTCAGTGCATTCGAAGTGCGTTATGTTATGCGTACTAGCTACTGCACATGCAAGCATTATGCTTCTGTTAGCGATGAGCATAGTGTGAAAACGTGTCATCATTTTTGTTCTTTATCCCGGCAAATTCTCTTAAAATAAAGAAACATTCATTTCTTCTTTATTTGTGTTGGTTTCTTTTAATATTTTTCCATTTTTAGCGGATTTTTCAAGGGTGCCCACAACCGGGTACAAAAATTTTTTTGTCAAAAAATTCCCATTTCACTAAATTTCTAATAAAACTTTTTTATTTAAAGGAATAAATTTAATTCCTTCACTAACAGTCACCTTAGACCTCTAGCTTTAAATTCGTACACATATATTTGTATAATATGCACATGAAAAAATGTTATGAGGCAAAAACAAAAAGGTGCCCACAACCGGAACACTTCCCTTATATATATATATTTAATAATTTTTAATTTGAATTATGTGTTATTGTAAACAAAAAAATTTATTTTATTTTATTATATTATATGAAATTATTTTAAAGAAAGATTTAATACAAATTTTAACTTGCATTTTCGGATCATTAATTGCTGCTGCATATTTTTCAAATTCTTCGTTGGTTGTACTTGTATCCATTTTCTCGAATTGAAATTACTAAATGTTAAAACTTTTTGTATTATTTAACTTTTTCTTAAATGTCAACTAATTTGTTGAAATAAAAGAATAAATACTTTTAAAACAAATGATACAAAAAATTTTTGTGGTTATGTTAATTTCGATTTTATTTCATGGAAACATTTGAATTTGAATATTAATAATTGCAATAATAGATGAAAAATAAATTATTTATATAATATTTTTAAAAAAATATTTAGCACATTACATTTAAAAACAATATAAAATGAAAAATGATAAAAAAAATCTTTTTATAATAATTAAATGTTATTAAATATTTTTATATATAAAAAAAAATACTTAAAAATATAATTGAATTTTTATATGAAATAAATAAATTTTGCTTATATATTTTTTTTATTTTTAAATTCATTTTTTGTAATAAAAAATAAATATTTTCAATTATTTTAAAAAAGTAAAAATACAAAAGTTTTACATTCAATTTAATTTTCTTACTTTTTATAATTATTCATAATAATTAATTTAAATAAAACAAATTGATATCAAAAAAAATTATTTTATCTAAAGATATTTTTGCTATCAATTTTGATACATTGAATTTAATTATGTTGTCATCGGTTTATTATTGTTTTTATATATTTCATAATTAATTTAGAAAAATCAAATTGATACTTTTAATATTACTTTTATTAAAAAATTTCTCAATTTAAAAAAAAATTATTATTTTCTGTTTCTATTTGATTTTAATAATTTAATGATATTGTAATTATTATTACAATGTTTCTATTTTTGACTTTTATTGTTGTTATATTTTTATTGTTAATAATTAATTTAAAAAAATCAAATAGATACTTTTAATATTAATTTTATTAAAAAATTTCTTAATTTTAAAAAAAAATTATTATTTTCTGTTTCTATTTGATTTTATTAATTTTTTTTTTTTTTTTTTTTGCTTAGGGACTTTTGGGAAATCTGCCTACAGATACCTTGGATTCCGCACTCCAAGGTTATGTGGGGTTGGTGTGATAAAACAAAAGGAGATAAAAAAAAGAAAAATAAATATATAAAATAGTAAATTTAATAAACTGGCGACCTACTGCCAGCCCGACCCACTAAAACATGTAACCCTTCTTCTGGAGCCCTTTACCCTCCCTCGGAACTGTCGTAAGACTTTAGCCTTCGAGGGTGGCGCTCCAACTCTGTCGCTAATGCGACTTTCTGCTTTTCTCTGCGGTTATCCTGCGTTAATAGTTAAAAATTTAAAACTATTTCAATATAAAAGCGGAATTAACAGCACAACAATAATAAAACAAATGTTTAATTAAGTGTAAACAGTCAAAAGATAAAATTGCAAACGGATATATAAAAAAAAAAGAAAAAATAAACGCGTATAAAATATTGAAAACATAAAACTGTACAAAGATGAATAAAAAAAAACACAAACAATTAAAAAATGTATAAGGACAGATAAATCACAAAATAAATTAATAAAAAACAAACGATCAAAATTAAAAGCTGTTTAAATTACGCTTTTTGGCGGCCGTCGAGATCCTTCCTCGACATAACCGAGATTATGAAGTTCTCGACTTGCCGCCAATTCTCTTCCGACTGGGTCATCAGCGATACCATGTTCTCCGGTGTAACTTGACTGTTTACACCTTCGAACATGGCCCGCCTCTCCAAGTCCCATTTCTTGCATGAGAAGAGGGTGTGCTCCGCGTTGTCCTCAGGGAACTGGCAATATGCACACACCTCGTTCTCGCGTAATTTAAAGCGACACAGGTACGAGTTAAAACACCCGTGACCTGTGAACGCCTGAGTCAAGTAATAGGAAACCTGACCGTGTTTCCTATTTATCCAGGTGGCGAGTGCCGGGATAAGGCGATAAGTCCATCGACCTTTTTCCTCACCATCCCATCTTTCTTGCCATCTTTCTATGAGCCTGTGCCTCGCTTCTTTGCGGATCAGGCCCTTGCTTGGTCTTAATTCCTCATTCAAGGAACTGCTTTCTTTAGAAAAGAGAAACATTTCTTCCCTTTCCCTCGCCAAAAGATCTGCTGGCGGGACACTTGCAAGGACCTGCACAGCACTCGTAGATACCGTCTTATATGCAGAGATGATACGCGTTGTTATCGATCTCTGCGCAGACAGTATCTTTTCACAGATGGTCACACATCTTTTACTCCTCAGGGATGGGGCCCACGCTGGTGCTGCATAGAGCATTTTAGCGTGGGCGACACTCGCCACCAGTCTTCTTTTTTGTTCACGGGGTCCGCCAACATTTGGCATTAGCCGTGAAAGATTAGCCGCACACTCGATCACCTTATTTGACGCCGTAGCCATGTGGTGGTGGAAGTTTAACCTTCCATCTAACTCCACACCAAGATATTTAATTTGCTCACTCCACTTGACCTCGAATCCGTCTATCACGATTCGTGGGAGCTCATAACCACGTCTGTCTGTGACCAGCAGTGCCTCGGTCTTTTCCAGGGCCATTTCAAGACCTCTGGTATCCAGCCAGCTTTTAGCTAGTCGCAGACATTCGTTCACCAATGTCCCAAGAGCCTCCTCACTTTCGGCAGTGCACACGAATAATGCGTCGTCCGCAAAGCCGATGATCACCGCACCTTCGGGCAGATCCATTCGCAGAAAATCATCGTAAGATACATTCCATACAAATGGACCCACCCTCGAGCCTTGAGGAGCCCCACGCTGCATCTCTTCCTTGAGAGTGCAGGTGTCTCCCTCATATATAACCCACCTGTCGCTAAGATAATTATCCATTATCCGCAACAAGTAGGGCGGCATGTTTTTCTTTTCCATCGACTCGATGAGATCTTTCCATCTTGCGGAATTAAACGCGTTGCGTATGTCAATTGCTACCAACGCGCAGAAGCTCTTCTTTTTCCCAGGTCCCAATTTGTTTTTTCCTGCTTTGGCTATGTCCACAACTGCCTGGATGGCATCAACCGTAGACTTGCCTTTACGGAAACCAAATTGGTGATCGGATAGACGACTCTCTTCGGTCAAGTGGCTTTGCATTCTCTGCAGAACCATATCCTCTAGAAGTTTACCCATCGTATCTAGCAGGCATATAGGCCTGTACGATGAAACCTTATCTAGAGGTTTTTCACCTTTCCTTAGGAGGACTAACCTCTGTCGCTTCCAGTCGCGGAAGAACTCTCCTCTCTCAAGGCAAAGATTGAAGCATCGAAGCAGAATCTGGGGTAAAGTGTCGATTACCAACTTTAGGATCTCGTTACTTATCCCATCGATTCCAGGCGCCTTGCCTGTTTTCAATCTTTTGCCTGCTTTTTGCAGTTCACTAAGTGTGAAGAGTTCTTCCTCTTCGACTTTGCAAAAACTCCAGTCCCTTCTAAGGTATGGCTCCGCAGGAGGAAACAAAGAACTTATTATCTTTCTGACCCAATCGGGATTGTCCAGGCCGGGGGTCTTTTGCCTCGTCACTAATTTCTTAGTTACGATTTTAAAAGCCAGACCCCATGGGTCCTTATCGACTTCCTCGATTAGGTCCTTCCAGCTATGGCGTCGCGACTTCCGGATCTCTTTCTTGAGGTTCTTTTTCGCCTCCTTGAAAGCCTCTTTCAGCAAGGGATCTCCCTTAGATCGGGTATATGTCCTTCTTGCTTTGAGGCATTCCTTTCGCAAGGAGGCTAGCTCCTCTGACCACCAGTGCAAGGATTTTCTTACGGGAGTAGCGCCTTTGCGTGGCATTGACGCATTGCAAGCGGTGACTATCATGTTCCTCACCGCTCGCACCTCCGCATCCAGACTGCTCGGCCTCTTCACCCAGCCCAAGTCCTCAATTAAAAGGGCTTCTCTTAGGGACCGGCCGAACTTTTCCTTGTCGAGTCTCTTCATATTCCACGAGGAGGTTTTGCGACTAGGAGCATCCTGTCTTTTTCCTCCTCGTGTGTCTCCCATCGAGACTGAGAACTCAATATACTGGTGGTCACTTGCGGTATATTCCTCAGAGACCCGCCAGTCGGTTATGCGGCTAAATAGTTTAGACGATGCGATTGTTAGATCTATAATTGATTCGATCGCACCTCGTCTAAAAGTCCATGTATTGCCTCGGTTTACTGCCAATAAGTCGTTTCTGGAGATCATTTCTCCAATACGAATTCCTCTCTTGTCGAGTCTCGTCTCACCCCACTCTGGCGACTTTGCGTTAAAATCACCAGTGATGATGACATCCAGCCTGGATTCTGTGAGGCTCGCTTCTAGGTCTTCGATATTGGCTTCGAAGTTTGTCAGTGGGTCGTTGGGTGAGAAGTAGCAGCTATACATACGTATATTAGCCACCTCTATCCACACGAACCCACTGCTCGTCTCCAGAAACTTGTCAACCCGCAATTCTGGGTTGCACAGCTTTATGGCGGCTCTCTTTGCCTTATCCTGATACCAAGGGGCGAGGTTGCTTCCTTGATACTGCTCACTGCAGAACAGGATATCGACCTCATTTTCCCTTGCTGTTTGCATTAGGAGCAACTGTGCATCCTTACTTGTATGCAGGTTGACCTGCAAAAATTTTAAGGATTTGCCCTTTTAATCTTTTGCAGTTCTTCTCTGTAAACCGGGCAGGCTCTCTTTCCGGAATCGTGATCCGTCTCTGGCTTCCCCAGGTCCAAGCACGTAAGGCACTTCGGCTTAACTTTACAGCTCTTCGCGAGGTGTCCCTCTCCGCCGCATCTCCAACAGTTTTTACTTCTGTCGGGGCCTTTGCAGGTTCGGGTAGAGTGTCCATAGGCTAAGCACTTTTGGCACCTAGCTACTTCAACATGCTCGCGAATTTGAGCATTTATCCAGCCGATTTTGATTCGGTCAAGTTTAAGCAGAATGTCACTTTCTGCTTCTGCCAAGCGGATTAGAGCAACCTTAGTTCCTTTGTAGCGCGGCAGTAATTTGCACTCTATAGGCAGGTCGGGCTTGCCCAGCTTTTCTTCCAATGCTGAAGTCACCTCACTCTCTGTAGTGGCTTCATCCAGGTCTCTGATTTCTAGAGACCTCTTATTTACAAGAGGTATGACCTCGGCCCTGCCATGCAGGGCCAAGGACAGACTTTTCGCAAATTTTAAGGTCTCTCCACCCTTTTTCACTATCAGGAGAACTTCCTGTTTAAAAGTTCTCCTGATTTTCTGTACCACGGTGCCTGTATCTTCAGGTTTAACCTTTTCTTTTATCAGCGGCAAGATACCCTCGTAAAACTTTGGGTCTCTTGCCGTGATCTTCACATTAATTCAAAAAAATCAAATTATTACTTTTAATATCATTGTCATTCTTTCCATTTTTTATAATATTACTATTTTAAATGAACCGTAGTGCGTAATGAAATTGAGAAATTCAATATCAATTTTAGCTAAATATTTAGCAATTTTTATATGATTAATTTAATTATGTTGTGTCATTTTTTATAATATTCATTCAAAAGAATGAAATTGATATATTTAATATTAATTTTATTAAAAAATAATATTTTATGTCAGTATTTAATAATTTAATTTTGTTGCCATTGAGCTCGGTTAGCTTTTCGATTTTTTTTGAAACTTAATTTTTATCATTGTTCTTATTATTCATAATAATTAATTCAGTAGAATTTTATGAAGTAGAATATCTTTTATCTAATTAAAATTTATTTGTTATTAAAATATTTTTTTATAAACAATATTTTTTATATATATTTGGTTTTTCTTCCTTTTTTATTAGGAAAAAAATTGGATCCAGATTTTTTTTCAAAGATATTATAATAAATATTTTTTTTCAAAGTATTTCATGATAAACGATATTTTTGATATATAATTTTTCTGGATATTCTAAATTTTTATATACTGCAGAACCAACAGCTAGAATTTTTAAATGTTCTTTAGATTTAACTCTAGAACAACCAACATAAATTTGACCAGGACCAAATGCTGAAATTGGTAAATATATTCCTACTTTATCGAATGATTGGCCCTGAGATTTATTAATAGTCATTGCATAGGCAAGTCTAATTGGAAATTGTCTTCTTACCATTTTGAAAGGAAGTGCGTCTTGTGAAGGTGATAAATCAATGCGAGGAATAAAAACTACTTCACCTTTAGATTTTCCAGAAATAATTTCTGCCGAAATTACATTCTGTAATAAAGATTTTACAACTAATCGAGTACCATTACATAATCCCTGAGCCAAATTCAAATTTCTCAATAACATAATTATACATCCTACTTTCAATGGCAATTTATAAGGAGGTAAACCATCTGGTGTTAAACTATTTAAAAATTCTATTGGAATGAGATTATTTATATTTTCTGGATTATCATCATTAACATGTGAATCATTACTATAATAAACTACTTCTTCTGCTTCTAATCTTGACAAAATGCATTTATTCATGTTCAATACTTCAGCATTAGTTAATGAAAGAATACAAGAGGAGTAAACAGATGAATCATTTGGACTTATCGATGACCCATATATTTCATCAATTAAATTCCCATTTGAAATTAGATCTTCTGAAATTTCTAAAACATTATTTTCTTTCTCAAATGAACTTGCAGGTTTACCATCACCGACATTTAATAACCAATTTGAAAACTCGATCTGATCATTATTCAATCTGACATTAGCATGTAAAGATCTACTTTCAAAATGTTGCCATAATCTACTATTTTTCACACACACCTCAACAATGTGAGTACGATTACCGTGAGGAACAATAGGTAAAGTTTGTCGAAAATCTCCTGAAAGCAAAATAACTTTACCTCCAAAAGGTTTACTACATTTTGTTATATCTCTCAACATACATTCCATTGCTTGTAATGCATACTTAGGTGCCATTGTTATTTCATCCCAAATAATAATTTTGGCTTTTCTCAAAATTTCTGCATGTTTTGACATTCCACTAATATTACATTTTGAATCTTCATTAATTGGTATAGGAAATTTAAACATATTATGTGACGTTCGACCACCTTTTAAAAGGTTAGCAGCTATACCAGTCCATGCAACTGATAAAACTATCAATCCCTGACTTTCAACAGTTGTAATAATTGTATTATGTAAATAACTTTTACCACTACCTCCCGGTCCGTCAAGATAAATATATCTATTTTCACAATTATCATCATATACTGCCATCAAAACATCATCAAAAACTTGACGCTGTTCGTTATTTAAACTTTCAATAAGAATATTAGATTCTTCTTTAAGCAATTTTAATGCTAATGCATTATTTTCCGTATCTACAGAATTATATTGTTCAAGAAGTTTCTGATCTATATTAGGCAAACCAAATTGATGTAATGAAAATCCATGAAAATTAAGTACTTCATTAATTAAAATTAACGACTTTTGAATTGATACCTCCGCTGGTAAATTATTATCAAAAATCATATCTTTATATTTATTCCATAAATCAATAGCATTCGCAGGCAATCCAAATACACATATGTATGCAAATAATCTACAAAGTTCTTTAGGAAATTTCAAGTTTACAGCTTCAGTTAAACAATTATCCCATTCATTATCATCAACCATTAAATTTCTGGCACGAGCTGCTTCCGTAAAAGAATTATATCTTGTACCTTCATACGTTCTTACATCTTCAAATGATTTAGCACCACGTACTGTGACGTATGATTTTAACTAAATTTTATTTTAAGTCAAAAAGTTCTGCTTACGTCAGGCAAAATCCGACGCTTTACAACAATAATAATTTGAGAAATTTAAACAAGTAAATTTCGCCGTCAGGCGCCAATTAATTTTTAAGCTAAATTAATAAACTACTCGACTCTTTAACCACAACCCGACAAACAACAACACCTCTGAGACGCTCTCAATCGTCAGAGGAAATTCTGCCTGAACAAATTGGCAAGCAGAAATGCCAACGACGAGACACGACTGGCACAACACTGGCTCGATACTGACTTACCCAGCGATGTTTCTCAATCTCTCCTTTTTGCTGGTTTCTTGGCGGCTATTTTCCTCAGGGATAAATAGACGAATAATACAAAGAAAACCACTACACTTCTACTTACACTCTTTATTAATCCTCTTTTCAACACAAAACTCTCTCTCTCACAACACTCAAAACTTTTACAAAAGAACTCTTACGCACGTCTCTACAAGATACTGTTTACACATCTCATAGAACACTCTCTACCAAGATGTCGGCGAAAACTAATGACACCGGTTTCTCGGCTTTTCCCACACGTGCTCGGCTTCTTCATCTCTTCTTCTCTCTCGTTCCGCTGGCTCTCCTCTCTCTATCTCTTTCTAATAGACAGCGGCTCTGCCCTCTACCACTTTCTCTCCTACTAACTAGCCGCGCGACACACATTCACCACTGATAGTGGGTCACACGGCAGTTCCGACTTTCTAAATTACCATACCAATTAACGATCACGGTTCAGGGATAATTCCGACAGATGACATGACGATTCAGAATTTCGACAAAATAAAGAACGACAATTCACATCGTCACAGTACATAAAGTAGTAAAGTTCTCAACCAATATCTTTCAATATCTTTTGGACTTACAAAATACATTCGAGAAATTAAAGGTTTGGTAATCCGTTCTCTTTTTTTCCAAGTTTTTGTTTGTTGAATGAATACATAATTGTGTGGTATTTCTGAATATAAATATTTGTGTGCTTTAGGATCTTTTTTATTTAACTCAAACCATGCTGTTAATGTCGTATTTTTAAATGTGTCAATTGCCTTTTGTTCCATTCCTTCTGTGAAGCATATTGTTTGATGATCAGGTAAATGTACAGCTAATCTATACGTTGCATGTGATTGTTCATGCATATTAAATTCGAGTAGTCTATGCATTGCTTCTGGTGGACATACATATCGTGTGTTTAAATAATGTTGCGGTTCATCATAATTCATTACCTGATTATTATCCTTAATACCTACTATCGCACAATCATGACCTTTATAACAATATTTAAATAAATATTTAACACCACCTATGCTACCGCATGCTACAACATTAATATGACAAGCAAATTTTTTACTTAAATATGGATTATATGGCACAATCATTGAATTGTCTGCAGTGCATTTAATTGAACCATCTTTGTTATAAAATATAATTTTTCTGCCATCATTTCTTCGTCTATATTCTGGATAATTTTTCGAATAATCTGTTTCTGAAGTAAATGGTTTCGGATAATGTTTAGTGCAAACTTTTGTTTCAGGATTCATGCACGGTGAATTCATGTTTTGTTTTCCGCAAGGTCCATGAACTTGAAACTGTTTTACAATGTTAAAAAGTTCTGGATGTTTTGCTTCATCAGGAATTTCTGCACAAATTATTTTATTAACAGTTTCTGCATCACGAATAGCATGTGATTGATCTAAAAAGACAATTAAATGTACATGTGGTAATCCACGCTTTTGAAATTCTATCACATATACATAAGCAATAACTGGTCCAAAAATTTGGTTGTCTTTTAATTCAATCATTAGCGCTTTTACTTTTTGTTGAAAAACTCTTGCAACAATATCTGGCCGATCAAATGCAGTTTCACCACATAACAAATTTTCTGTAATTTCACACCATTTCGGATTACATGTCATGGTAATAAATAAATCTGGTTTTCCAAATTCTTGAACTAATCGCATGGCATCCATAAAAAATTGTTGGTAAGAACGTGGTCCACCAGTAAATGTTGATGGTAAAACAATTATTCTTCCTGGTCGAACATTTTCTTCTGCAGCTTTATTATATAAATAATCCATCAATCCACAATACAATTCAGCTCGAAGTTTTTTTTGATTCGAATATATGTAGCTGATACGCAAACCTTCCACTTTCGACCAAAAATCAACTATCAGTTGTTGACTTAATTTGCCCATTTGCAAACAAGGATTAAATTTTCCTCTATAAGAAAGACGAAAAATGTAAAACTGTAAAAGAGTAACATCACGATCAGTGCCTCCTTTCTGTTTTATATTTACTGTCCATCCTGGATCACCTGCAGGAAACACTAACGGATATATCATGGGATCAGCATTTGCACTGAGATTGTGAATAGGAATACTTTTATCATTTCTTGGATGTATACATATATCACGTTCTACTGGAGGTTCACCATCTTCACTAACGAATACAACTGCCACCTCATTACAAGACGGAACTTTAAATTTGCTTTGATTCAATGATCTGTCTCTTTTTATCCACATTTGAATATCTCTCATAGGTTCATTTTGCAATTTCGCTCGTATTTCTTCTTCTAATTCTACTTCTCTCATCATTTTAAATGCTTTAGCGTAAGGATTAATATATCTCAACAATTCGTCTATTTCTTTCATTAATGATGGTAAACATTTTTTGTTAGAATCATGTTTCAATCGTTCAAGAACTGCTTGATTAGTATCAAGAATGTATAGTTGTCCATATTTTCGACTTTCACTATTATTAGGATGAAGATCGTATGTATTGTGATACACTTGTCCATGTATACGAAAAACAAAAGGACCTCTTCCTTTAGGAATTTCTAATTTAGCTCCCATGCTGGCAAAGGCGGATGCACTATTATACGAACGAATATTCTCTCTAAAATTTTTACCTTCAGAGCTAGAATCAAATAATAAATTTTGTAAATAATCTGGATAAGGACTTAAATCATTTAAAATAACTTTTCCCTTATGGCAGCAAGAGTTAAATAATTTATCTGCTGGCAATTCACTCAAAAAATGTAACGCACCGCAAAACTGACACACAACATTCATCAAACCTAAGTAATTTTGAGGAACAATACTTTCTTCAAAAGCTTCGAGGGACTTAATTGCAACACCCGTGGTTTCCAATTTTTTATTGTTTTTCTTATTCCTTTTACTTTGTGAACATTTTTCTTGTCGTTGTTGCTTTTTTTCTTCATTTTCTAAAAATAATTGCTTTGTTTTACATAACAAATTTTTTTCTTGACGCTCTTTCTTTTCATCTTCTGTTTCTTTGGATAATTTTTTTTTTGCATATCAAATCTCTCTGTTGGCCTTCTTTTTTTTAAACTTCCGTTTCTATCTCTCTACTATGACGTTTCCTTAGTCTATCATTCTCTTTTCTAATTATTTTCTGTTCATCCGTTAATTCACGCCTTGCCTTCCTCATTCTCTCTTTAGCTTTCATTGCACGAAGGATCTGTTTATCATTTTGTTTATCTAGAGGATGCTCAATTTCTGATTGTTTAACTAATGAAACATTTTTAACATTATCACTGGTTACACGAAGTTTCTTCTTTTCACTTTCATCACTTAAAGAGTGCTTGATATTTAAATGTTTATCTGATAGAACTCTCTTTACATTATTACGTGGGGAAATCTCAGAAAAACGAGAAGGGTTTGGTTTATCATTTTGAATTCGGTCTCTAGCAAAACTATTCTCCACAATCAAATGTCTAATATTAGATGCTCTCACTGACGGAAAAGGAGTTAGACGATTATTTTTATACATTGTTTCTAAATGATTTCTCATCGCATTATTACGAGTCTTATAATTAACAGTATTTGGCATTTCGTTAAAAAGTATAGATGTTGCAAACGCTATCGAATAAACTCCGCACTCAAGACTACCTAGAGGTTGTTGATCAACATCTACAAAAACTAATTGTGGGTGAAATGGAAACAATCTACTTAAATAACTTTTATGATCATCAGTCAAACGCCTTTCATTAACACTATCAAAAACATTCAATCTCACTCCATCGTAATAAGTACAAATCCAATGTCCCTTATTAGCAAAACCACTAAAAAGTATTTGAATATGTCTTTGACCTTCTCTAATCGGAACAATGAATTTAGGAGTTTGTAAAAGCAATGTACTTTGCATATCAAAAACAGAATTTGACTGAATTCGTAATAATTCTTCAAATTTAAACATATGGTTATCATTCAACATTCTTCCATACGTTTTTAATCTTTCATAATCTTTAATACTTAAAGCAATATACCTTGTCTGGACGTTGGCCATTATATTGTTTATCAAAAAAGGTACCAATGATGTTTTTCAAAACAAATCTTCTTTTTCAGCTTCTTAGCTAAAATAATAAATTAATTCTATGTTTTTCACTTATAAGAAATCAATTAATAGCTAATAATTAGATAGCACCCCACACAGCATCGAAACTTTCCTAAAAATTTATTAAAGATTTACTTGCAAACTTCGAAGTATTTACTTGAAAAGTTTAGTATAAATTTTGTAAAGATTTAAATGTCCTACTTCAATAAATGTTTAGCGTGAAACTTTCCTGAACATTTAAAAAAAAATTTCGCCTACTGTATATAGGCGAAAATTTAATTTAAATTTTCAGGAAAGTTTTAAGTTACATTTTCGCTTATAAGAGAGTAGTCGAAAATTGAATTTAAATGTTCAGGCAAGTTTTAAGTTAAATTTTTAGGAAAATTTGACTATAAACATTTATTGAAGTGGGACATTTAAATCTTTACACAATTTTCACTAAACTTTGCAAGTAAATTTTTCGAAGTTTACAAGTAAATCTTTAAAAAATTTTCAGGAAAGTTTTGGTGCTGTGTGGGACGAAAAAAAATATAATGTGTCGCATTCTATCATTAATTATGAAAAATTATAAATAAAATTTATTAAGGGCATCCGGGAAAAAATAATAGTTTCGTAATCGTGTTCTCATTTAAAAGGAAAAGAATATTATTCTCTAAAATTCAAATATTGTAAAAAATTAATAAAATATTGAAACAAAACAATTTATTTTTAACATAATAAAAAAAAGTAATTTATAAAAATATCAAGTTCAAATATATTTTGAAATGCAATTATTTTTAAAAATAAATTAATTTTTTGTTTAAAATAATTTTAAAATTTATTAAAATTTGAAACAATTTAATAATTTTTTCAGTTTTTGAAAAATTAAATTTTAAATTATTTCTTTCGAACAATTACATTTTTAATTAATTTCATTTAGAATAATTGAAATTTTTATTAAAAACAGAATAATTTAATTTTGAATTGATTAAAATTGTTTTGTTGATTTTTAAATAACTGAAGCTTTATTAAATTAAATAATTTTAAAAATTGCATTTTTTATTAATTTCAGATTAATTGAATTGTTTTAGAAACAGAATAATGTAATTTTTATATATTATTTTTATTTCTGAATAATTAAAATTTAAAAATTAATTAACGGCTTATAACAATTTCATTAATTTAGTATTAATTGAATTGTTTTTAAAACAGAATAATGTAGGGTCATTTAGGGTAAATGTAAACGGAATATCTATTTTTCACCAAAAACATTATTTTTTTTTATTAAAAGGTAAAAGGGACGGATTTCTTTTGCATAAACTTATTACTTTACTTTCCAAAAAAAATTTTATGAGGTACAAAAAAATATTAATGTACCTGAATCACCTAAAACTGATTGTTTACATTTACCTCGAGATTTTGAAATTTTCCTAAAATTCGGGGTAAATGTAAACACCACTGTAGTTAAGCGAGGTTTAAAAAACAAGTTATTTCAAGTATACTATTGTTTTAAGGGATGGAAAAACTGAAAAAAAATTCTTCGTAGGTGTATAGTAAATCAACCAATTGACTGATAATGTATCATATAAAATAAATAATCAACCATTACAAAATTATTAGTAATGTAAAAACTTGAACAAATTTTAATAGATTTTCATTCAACTTGGTAAAAAGTTACTTTAAAAGTTTTTAAAGTTGCTGAATAAAAATCTAAAATCGAATTTTTTTAATTTCAAAATGGTGGATCCAATATGGTGGTCAAACATAAACTATACAATACTATGCAGGTCTATACCTGCAACTGACTAACCCGAAGGAGGTATGAAAGAAGACCTAATTTTCTTTTCTATGTAATTTTACATTGTCAAAGTAATGAAATTGTGAAATAGAAACAAATTTATTCAATTATTTTCTTTTAAAATGTAGTTCAAGTTCTGTTTACACTTACCCCGAGTTTTCAAATTCTCGGGATAAATGTAAACACTTAATTATTTATTAACTAAATTGACGAAAATCAAAAATCAAAGTTAATTTTTGTTAAGGCATTAATAAGGAAGAATTACATATTTTTGTTTGATTTTTAAATTTATTTTTATGCAAATGCGAGACAAAATACTGAAACAGTAAAATTTTGATTTTCAATCTTTTTTGCATTAAAAGATAACTTACACTATGGCATTGCCAATTGTCAAAATAAAATATTGGCAATACTCAGAACATCTTGTAGGTGATCTGAGGTAAAAATATTGACGTCGTACTAATTTTTAAATTTGTAAATTTAGTTGAAACATCTATTGTTTACATTTATCCCTTGTTTACAATTACCCCAAATATGACCCAAATTGTAAATTGATTGTTTTATTGATTTTTGAATTTTATTTCGGAATAATTCAATTTTTTATTTAAAATGAAATAATTTAATTTTGAATTAATTGTATTTTTGATATTTGAATAATTAATTATTATTTTGAACAATTACATTTTTCAATGATTTCAAAATAATTAAATTTTTTATTAAAAACAGAATAATTTATTTTTGAATTAATTAAAATTGTTTGATTTATTTTTGAATAATTAATAATTGACTTTTGAATTATTTAAAATTCAAATATTGTAAAAAATTAATAAAATATTTTAAAAAAACATTTTATTTTTAACATAATAAAAAAAGTAATTTATTAAAATACTAAATTCAAATAGATTTTGAATTGCAATTATTTTTAAAAATAAATAAATTTTTTGTGTAAAATAATTTTTTTTAAATTAATTAAAATTTGAAACAATTGAATTTTTTTTTTATTTTTGAAAAATTAATTGTTTCGAACAATTTTTTAAACATAAAAGAACCAGGAGCTATTATCACTCATAATAGCAATCAAAAAAAGCACACACTAAAGGGATCGCTCTTCCCAAAAAATTTAGACTCTATAGATCCTGCACTGTATAAGTTAATAATTGAAGATTAATTAAATTTTTGAAAAACTAATTGAAATACTAAATATTAAAAAATTAATTAATTATTTTGAATAATTAATATTATTGAACAGTAATATTTACGAAAACGACCAATGTAATAAAATTTAGAACGATATTTTTTATTGATTTAGGAAAATTGAATTTTTTAATTAAAATTAATAATCGTTGAAAATTGAAAATAATACAACTTTTATTGACAATTCGATATTTCAGTTTTTTTAGATTTTAAAAATGCATAAAATTTTCAATAATAATAATAAATCAAAATACAATAAATATTATCAATTATAATTATAAATAAAAATAATAATAATAATAATAATAATAATAATAATAATAATAATAATAATAATAATAATAATAATAATAATAATAATAATAATAATAATAATAATAATAATAATAATAATAATAATAATAATAATAATAATAATAATAATAATAATAATAATAATAATAATAATAATAATTTTTTTTTTTTTTTTTATTCACGGGGGAGAAGAGGAAATGCATTTACGCATCCCCAGAAAGATCCCACTTA